TTATTATTATTATTATGATTATGTATTAGGAATCAGAAGAGGGTGTTGCACTTTACATTTTTCTTTTCCTTGTACATGTGATGTTTTGGTGTTTTGTTTCTTTCCGCTAACTGTCAAGTGGGAAATAAGTATTGTTTATGTTTCTCTTATTATCCTAAGGTACGTTTATGCTTGGCTGTGAAAAAGAAATATGAAGGACAGACCATCTATTTCTATTTATTTTGTTTTTTTAGAAAGGGGCAGGTCATATAAGATTATTTTCTTCTCCCTGCTCCTTTTCGGTCAATGGTGTGTTTACAGAGACATGTTTTGTTAACAATTATTATACATTAAGTTTTGCATACCATGAACGGAATAAATAAAAATGAAATGAAATGTGTAACACATGTTGGTAATGTTTTATAACAATAGCCTCAACATATGTTTTAAAACGCCATATGAGGTCAAGTATCATAATACTTCATGATTGCTGGAGGGCCTTTATTGGCTACAGACGGGCATAGTATCAATGCTATTTGTATAGTTTTACATGTGTTTGGTCACTGTTGAGATTAGTTTATGATGCTATTGATGCACAGAGCCTTGTGATACAAAACAGCTGGTTACCTTTTGCTTTTTGTTTGGTTACCTCTCCGGATAGCTTGCTTGACAGCCTCACAAACTTGTCACATCAGCATACAAGTGTGTGTGTGGGTGTGTGTCTGTGTGTGTGTGTGTGTTATTATTTCCCTGGATAGTGGTGACTGTTCTCCTCAGGATGCTTTAGAGTATGAGGTGGGTCCAGACTGAACATGAGCGTGGGCTCTCTGCTTATTGGATCAGGGTGGTGCCAGTCACCTTTGATGGGTGGAGCACTTGCTCGGGAACTCGATTGGCTCAGGAACGGATTCACCATCTCCTGCTGAGGAGACGGGGTGAGGCAGTACTCCCCTTTCTCCTGCTGAGGAGACGGGGTGAGGCAGTACTCCCCTTTCTCCTGCTGAGGAGACGGGGTGAGGCAGTACTCCTCTTTCTCCTGCTGCTGCAAGTTTCTGAGGATAGCTTTGGACAGGAAGTGGGGGTCTTCCTCGTGCTCATCTAGAGGTAGAGGAAGAATAACGCGTGAAGTTTTTGTTAGTGTGAGCATCCTGTCTTTAGTTAACTTATGAGTTTTTATTCAAGTTTCAAGGCTTTATTGTCATTAGCACAATAGCTACAGTGTAGATATGGCAATGAAAACTTAGGTCAGGCTCTTCCAACAGTGCAACAGATAGGATATAGAACACATTAAACAGATACAATAGTGCAAGAGAATGTTTGGAGATGTGCAAGTAAATACAAATGAAATAGAAATAGTGCAAGAAGAGTCTATATACAAGTAAATGGAATGGAATGATATTATATTCCTTACCTTACCTTATTCTTTATCAACATTGCCAAATCATTCAAAAATCCTGATTGTCAAACCTTGTTTGGAAGCAGATCATCACACACACACACACACACACACACACACACACACACACACACACACACACACAACACACACACACACACACACACACACACACACACACACACACACACCATACACACACACACACACACACACACACACACACACACACACACACACACACACACCATACACACACACACACACACACACACACACACCATACACACACACACACCATACACACACACACACACACACACACACACACACACCACACCACACACACACACACACACACACACACACACACACACTTGGCTTGTGTTCCTACCGTTGAGCAGGATGAGCTTGTAGTGGTTGCGGCACTCCAGCGAGTTCTCCAGGATGTCCTGCAGCGTCCTGAAGAAGAGCAGCACCTGCTGTCTGCGCTCCGGCTCCCCGAACCCCGCGCTGCTCTCCTGGGACATGCTGTGCAGCGTCAGCAGGGGCGTGGCATACTCCAACACACACTCATGGACCTGTATACACACACATATGGACAAAAGAGACACATTAGATTGATAGAAAATCCTTTAAAAGCTTGTGGAACTGTGGCACTGGATGTGTTTGATGATTATGTTTTACATGTAGATGGTGCTTTTACTGTGCTTTATCAAAGGGAATCATCACTTATTTTATCAGGTTTAACCAGCAGGTGGTACTCACGTTGTGCTAAGGAGGAGGAACAGTATGCTGGAGGGAATGTACTGTACTAGGTTGAGTGTTTATATTTTTTGTATATCAAAGTGTTTGAAAAGTTATTCAGTATTAATTACAAATTAAAAGGGACACGAGTTGGTCTATTCAAAATGGTCATTAAAGGGGCCCTTGTGTTTCTCTCCCACACACTTCCTCACTGTCTGAAACACCTCGATTAGACTCCTTTGTTCTCCGCAACATAGTGACATCACTTCATAACACTCGTGATTCTAATAGCAAGCGCTGTAACACATTGTACGTGATAGGCTAAGGGGCGGGACATCTCTAAGCGGTTGACCAATCACAACAAAGCTGGCCAGCTAACCAATCAGAGCAGACTGGGCTCTGGTTTCTGACAGAGGGTGAGAAGAGGTGCTGCAGCACAGGCACTACGAGAAAAATAAAGAGCTTTTTGAACATTAAAGCATGTAAACATGTCACAGTTGAGGCAAAACAAAATATGAACCCTGAAATTAGAATAATAGGGACCCTTTAAATAAACAACTTTTAGTTTCATCCCTAAATCATAAGATTAGAAGTTGTTTATGCAAAAGGTTAATGTTTTACGATGGTTATCATATATATTTAGTAAAATAAGTAAAACATAGTATAAGTATAAAGTAACTACAGTACTGTATAATAAATAATTGATAATTGACTTATTCTGCGTGATAACTGCAGCTGTAAAACATCACTCTGGTGATGAGTTCGATATAATCTGAGGCTATTACTGGTCTCACATGAAAGTCAGACTGCATCCCAAACATCCTCTGCCTCCACTGAACTACAGAGGTGGTGTTGAGTACAATCACTGTTAGATTTGCTCCATCAAACATATTGAATATGGAGCACATTGACATGCTATCATGAAATATTGAAGAAAATATACAGAAGCAGCGCCTCGAGACTGTCACTCTCTCTCTCTCTGTCGCATTTTAGTTGTGCAGTCTTTACAAATGTGATCAAAGGAGAAAATGTCAGCACACCAAGTCTTTCAACTCTCACTGGCAATAAGGAGACAGACACTGAGATGAGTTACAGCACGAGCAGCTTCAAACTGCAGCTTCTCTTATCACCTTATTTAATGGTGCGCTGTGCACCTGAGAGACATTTCTGAAGATAATCTGCTACAGATTATTGATTGTCTTTTCACCTTCACCAGTTTGCAATTCAACATATACTGTATTCAAATTATGTCAGAGATTGATTGGATGGATGGCAGGCAGCTATTACAGAGAGGCACAGTCCCTCCGGCCCTTCCTGTGGACCGCCATGTGTACACTAGCTATAGGCGAGACATCATATGTTTAGATCCTGTTTGAAATTGGGCCCTGAAAAACCGAAAAAGGAATGTCAATTCCAAAAAAAATTGCAGTCTTTTGAAGTAAAGTCTGTGAAAATGATATAAAGTGCCGCCATGAGGTTCTCTCTTGCTGAAGCTACAATGTTTGTTTGTTTAGTACCAGGATGCACTGACAATATATGCATTTTTCAACATATGCTATGTCGTTTTTTCAGATATTTTGGATTTACACTTTTTAAAAATATAAACATTTTTCCTTTTTTAATATGTTATACTTGTTAACTTTTTTTTCTGACATTTACCTATTATTTACTATTTATTTTTTCCAGGCTTGGGGAGAAACGGATTACATGTAACGGGATTTCGGAATGCATAAAAGGCTTGTTTATTATAGGCTTATCCCATCATTTAAGATAACATGTTTAATACATACGCGTTTCAACTTTTATAAGGTTTCATTGTTTTGTTGTTTTACAAAATAAACTTCAAAAAAATCTATTCTAATTGATAGTTATTTTCTCTTGTATTCATTTACTTTGCAATTGAAACTGACATAATCCAAAGTATCGGAAAGTAATCAGATTACATTACTTTGATATTGTGATACTCAGATTAGGTTACGTATGTAATAATTGTAAAAGAATACATGTTTAGAGTAACCCTGCTTCTTACTATCAATCTGTAACTCTGTGTTTTAGCCCCGCCTACCTTTTTATGTTCATCAAATACACTGTAGACACTGTGCTTGTAGACCCGCCCCCGGACTCCAGCCCTGTCTATCTCATTGTTGGGGAGGTTGTCACAGTAAAGGATCCTGTTGTCTTCTTCATTCAGTTTGTGAGAAATGTTAGCGTTGAGAGGTATGAGGATGATGAGCTTCCTGGAGCCACGACCCAAGCTGCTGGTCTTGGTGGCACAAAATGCTGTGATGGAGTCATCCAAACCTAATCGACATATACAGAAACACACAGAATCACAAGGATGCAGTGTAAAGTGCCAAAAAGGGACATAGAATACATTTGAGCAATCACTAAAGATTGTAATTTGATGGCGCATTAGCATGCACAACTATGAACGTGGACCAATTTAAGTTAAAAAAAAAAGAATAGTTACAGAGCTGGAGAGGAGAGGAAGATTGGGTGGAAATAAACCAAAAATGTACAATAAAACTTGAGAATCATGTCAAAAATGAATAATAATATAATTCAGAAAACAATAAGATCCTCACCACATAGCTTCAGTTTGCAATGTTGGATCAACACCACAGAAGAAGAATCTCTGTATTTTTCATTAAACCTACACTAGTCATGATGTTTTACATACCAGCTCAGCAGTTGTTTTAATATAATGTGTATTCAATGATTCCAATACATGTTATACTTGTATTGTACAAGTTAAGCCCACCAGCTAGTATTCAATGATGGTGTGTAATCTAAAATATAGGGAGATGTGTGTTTTGAAGTAACTGACGTGGCAGCACCAGGCGCAGGTATCCAATGTAGAAGGACCAGGCCAGGCCGTGGGCCACGTTCATCTTCCTCCCCTCGCAGAGGGCTGACACCTCCACCTCTGACGGACCCTGAACACAACATGGAAAATGATCCAGAGGCATGTCACAACAAGGAAAAGGGCATCCCTGCACCCATGCCGCCCTTTCCTGTGTAAGAACATAGTTTTTAGATGTTCTAGAGGAAATATCAGCTACACCCAAACTTGAGCTGGATTTGGATCCATAATGCTACTAGTTTTTATCCGAGGCCTACGAGGAAACACTGAGCTTTGTTTAAAATTATACAACAATTATTTAAGGACAGTGCCATGGTCATTCTTGCTGATGAAGGCATATTTTAGGCCTATTTTTACTCCAGAAATGCCAAATCAATTCCAATCAACTGATGCTCCAGGAAGTGTTCTCACATAGGGGCTTTTCTGTCTGAAGTGTAGTCCTCGTGCTAAAACTGAGATCATTTGTATTGTATCAGGGTGCTCTAAGCTGTTAGAATATAATATGCTCACAAATGATTGTCTGATAAAAAGAAATCATCAAAATAATCAGGATTGTTGTGTAATGTGCATGGAGGGTGCTTTTATATTTATTTATTAAGACAAGTATAGAGTTCTCTTTAACAGTAGTATAACATTTGACTTATTTCCCTATCTGATATCATATGAAAGTTATTATGAACTTATGCCATGAGTTTTATTTTGCCAGTGCTGCTGACATGCTAGTCAACTTAACGTGGTGGTGTTAGCTCAGTGGTGCCCAAACTAAGGCCCGCCGGCTGGGTACGGCCCGCCTCCACATTTGGCCCGGCCCCCTGAACAATACCAGAGACGCATTATGATTTTTTTTTTTTATTATTTTTTTTTTTCAGTCTGGCCACGTGAATCCTAGACTAGCCCCTGTCAAAATGTTGTGACCTGCTCTATCGAAATCAGTCGCATTGTCGAGTTGTGTGTGAGTGTGTGTGCTTGTGTAATTTTGCGTTTGTGTGTATTGTGTTTGTTTCCCGGGGAAAACACTCACGAGAAACACCGGCTGTTGTTATGCCTGCCGTTCTCCGCTTGTAATTATGCCGAAGCTTCAAAGTTGTATTTACCATCTGAATTTGCCGAAACAAATTTAATATTCTGAAAGCCAAGACTTTGTTTAATTGAAATCAGATGAAAACAAACTGTAACGGACCCTGCAGTGTTATCTATGATTACTATACTCTTACATTCATCATTTCAGCGGAGTGAGGGGGGGGGGGGGGGGGGGGGGCGGCGCTGCGGAAGAGCAGATTGCGAGTGAGAAATAAATAGGAAATAAAAGTTTCATATTCTGAAAGCCAAGACTTTGTTTGTTTAAAATCAAACAAAACACCCGAACCCCGAAAAAATAGTTTTTTTTACGTAAATCCACGTTTATTTTTGAGAGATTCTGCTCTGACAACTAAGCTAAACTTTTACCTGTTAAGATTGTGCACGGCACAACAGAAAGTTACAGTAATTTTCAATGGACTTTTTTTCTGTGAAGAACCCAGAGAGGGTTATTTGGTTATTATTTATTTCATAAATAGTGTTATTTATTTCATTAATAGTGTTATTATTTATTTCCTGACTTTTTTTCTGTGAAGATCCCGGAAAGGGTTATTAATATTTGGTTATGTGTGGCTTTCTAGAAAACAATAAATGTTTACGTTTAGACACCCATGCGATCGTCACACTTTTTCTGTTACAAACTGACCCGGCCCCCATCAGAGAAGGGAAAAGTTATGTGGCCCTCACAGGAAAAAGTTTGGGGACCCCTGTGTTAGCTGGTTATACTAACTAGCATGTTGTTAGCTGAAGTGTTTGTGTCTAGCATGTAACATGTATACACTATCTTCCACTATAGTCTTTTTAGGACATGTTTTACCTAAGGACTAATTTTATGACATACTTAACAATGACTTTTTTAAAGAAATACAATACATTGATTTCTTTATGTCACCATGTTGTGACTTTTGACGAGTTTTTAATGAAATACTAAAGTTCGATTTTCTTAATGATTTGTTAATGTTAATTTTACGGAATACAATCATTTAACTTTTTAACACAATTTTTATGACATACTGTACCATGACGTTTTTTTTACGATATACTGAATTACAATTTGTTTGATTTTTGTACCTCTTTTCTTTGAACTGAACTGCACAACAACTTCAGTCAGTAAGGTAATTTAACATTTCCATCTCCACTGTGGATGCAAATAAACAGGAAGGCAGTTTTAAACTCACAGCAGAGCAACATCACTGTGTGTATTGATAAGTGACTTCACAATGAAGCTCAGTATGCTCAGTAAGTGAATGCTGAGAACTATTTTTGGTGATAAACTGTGAAAAAGGAGAACACAACTATTGTGTCTTCTTATTTTGTAGTGCAGCGGTAGAGACAGAAATACAAAGACGGTGTTGTTGGGTGTGGACCTCACCAGGACTCCCAGGCTTTTCAACAGGGGGTAAAGGCTGGAGGCAAGAAATACAAGTTTCAAGCTCTGGCCTTGGTGCGGAAGAGGATGTCTGACCAGGTGGAGCAGAAGGCCTGCCAGCCCTGCAGCCAGTAGGGTCTTCCCCCACAGACCACAGGCCGGCAGCACATGGCTCCACCCTCGGCCTCGGTGCCTGGTAAAAAACAGAGGATACTGAGGTCCTATTTCAAAATATAAAGAAATCTTACATAAACTCCTTGTATCACACACAAACCTTTGGAAGCCCATTTCCGCCAATGTAATTTAAAAAGAAATCCTGTAATGATGAGTAACCTTTTCAAAATAATCATTGTGTATCTCAAAATGATGTTTTGACCTATTTCAAAATAATGATTTTAAATGACAAGAAAATTATTAAATGTGAAACTTTGATAAGCCATTTTTTACTCTATCTTATGCTTTTTGACAAAGTACCTTGTTATATTGACATGACATGTCATTATTTTCAAGAAGGTTTGTTATATTGACAGGATTTATTTTTATGTTTTCATTTTAATTTTTTATTTCACTTGCGGAAATGTGCTTAAAAACAACTTATTACTCTCACCTGGTATTTGAGTGGTAGAGTATTTCTTCTGCCAGCAGACAGAGCCCATGCAGCAGAGGGCCAAGGGTCAGGATGAGTATCACCATGGCAACCCATTCAAACAACCTTTCAGGAGACAGAAACAGGACGCCTCCTATTGTCATGGCAGACAGCACCGCAGCACACAGTTTAGGTAAACTCCCCCGAGGCCTCGGGATGAGATCGTCCTGATCCTGGAGGCTCTGCATCTGTCAGGGGATTAAAGTGTCAGGGAGTGCTCCAATAAAAACAGAAGTATCTACTTTCAGTGTGTAGAGTCAGTACACTCAGAAAATGGTTCAATAAATCTAAACTGTGGCAGTTTAGTGACAGGTATGGCTGTTGTTGTGATGTTTCCTTTCAACTTAAAGGGGCACTATTATGCTTGTAAAAACATGCTTAATCTGCCATTGCAGATTGTAACCATAACCACCGGCCACCCTTCAGTTCCAAGTAGAGGTCCCTACAGACTGAGCACAGGCAGTATGAGAAAAATAAACACCTTACTGAACATTAAAGCATCTAAACATGAAGGCCCGGGGCACAAAATATAAATATAAAAATGAAAATTAGTATAATATGGCTCCTTAAAAACATTCCATTCCACCATCTGGTCTGTTTATTGGTATTGATTTGTGTGTGATTTGTGTGTGTCCATGAGCAGTGGCAATTAAATAAAGGCTCAGTCTGCATGTAAACATGTCACAGAAGAGGCACAGAATACCAATATGAACCTGAAAATTAAATGAGCATAATAGGGCCGTTTACATTTTTGGACATACAAATATTTCACCTGACAACCACCATTCAGCTTCTACAACCTAGAAAGACATCATTAACTTTCACATGCTGTAAGAGCCAGTGTAACCATACAAGAATATGTTAACTATACTCAATAAATATAACAAATCAAGCTAAAAGTGTGGAGTTATAATTTCTAGGAGGATGTATTGATATTTTGAAAGTACATTTAATCTGATTTGCAGTGTTTCTATATTTTATTAATATCTATATATTATACCTGCAAAACATGTGTTTATCACCCGAAAAAGCTTGATATATCAGAAGTAATTTTACAATTTGCATAACTTTTAATCTGAGTATATTCAAGATGTTTGTTTTCTTACCAAGTTTCTCTCCCACACAATTCAATCTCTAAAAAGTGCTTTCAAGTGAAGCCACATTGCAATGATGGCAGGATGGTGAAAGTGCTGAATGCACTGTACACAGATTACAGATCAGTTTTATATAAAGCAGTTAGGTTCCTTTTTTTAACCAAAAATACATAACTGATCTCTGTCAGTGATGATGCCAGTGTTCACAAGAGGGGAACAAATAAATCTAGGGTATATTTAGTCTAACTCCATAAAAAGTCAAACTAAGAGAAATTAATATATGAAGGGACTCACCTTAGTGTGTTTGCGATGATCCAGAAGTGAGAGATATTCGTTTGCTCTCTGTTCTTCTTATGCCTCTCCCCTGCCCCTTCATTCTCCTTCCAACACTTTCACTTTCGTTTACTGCTTATTCCTCTGCCTGTCATTAATAACATCACCATGAAGAGAAGGGCGTGGGAAGAGCTAGAGTTCACGGAAAGGGTTCATGAAAGAAGAAGTTCTCACCATAAATAGCTATGAATATTTTTCAAATGACAACAGGTTCTTCAGAAGTTCACTTTCTTTTGAACTGTTTCAATTGGTTGCCAAATGTACACAATCTTGGTTTTCCATAAAGAAATGGAAGTCATTTCCCTATAGTTTGAGGGTAAAGGATTGTTTTAAACAAAGTTATGCAATGAGGCGATATGAGAGGCATGCCTGTGCAATTACTCTTAAAACTGGATAAGATATTTCCCCTGAGAGGAAATTGAGCTTGAGCAATAGGTCTACACATGTCTGCATTCAAAACATGTGTAACCAACAAGATGTAACATATTGCAAATGCCCAGTTAAATGTATATAGAAATATGTAGGCATTATAAAAATAAGGAGAATATAAGAACAAACACAAAAAACCATGGACCATCAATTGGTGCCTGATTTCTGTGAACTACACAAACAGGATTAACCTGTTTTCTTGTAGAGAAGTTTTACAGATAATGGGAGGACATAAGGCTCAACATTTGTATTTTTACGTTTACTGGCTCAGAAACGTCTACATTTTAGGGATATAGAACGTATGAGGGGGGTCCTTAAGAATTCTGTTTGCAGTACAGCATTGTAGAATGTATGGTCTTCATTCCCACTCCAAATGGCCCTTGGATGCAGGGACGTGTACAGGAACGGGCTAATGTTGCCCGGGCAACGACCCGTTTGGCCTTTTTGGCTGACCTGCCCCTCTGGAGAGAGCGAGAGTTTATTGTTCTTTTTTCTGTTGTGGCCGAATCAACATGATGAGCCCACAATTAGTATCGTAGCATCTCGCTGCGGGAAACACACTTTGTCAGCGCTGTCATCTGCCGGTGCGTTAAGACCACCTCAGTGTCAGATTTTGGAAACTTGATTTTGAGTTGTCTCATGGCAGTTATATAAGGGACATTGGTTATTTACAAAAAAACACTTAAATATAGCCTACTTGTTTTTGTGCTTCTGTCTTTCTGTGTCTTTTCATCTGTGAACTCCCTCAACGGGGCCGCTCGCTCTCTTTTCTTGATCGCCCTCTCACGGGTGAACAGTTCACTGTCCCGCTTCATTGTAGGATTTCTGCCATGTCTCTACCACTTTAGTTTGACCATCTCTGTTATTAAGTTATTGAATACTAAATAAATAAGTAATTAGATACCTTACCGTTACTGCGCTCATAAAGAATGATAAGAATAAGAATAATGCGTATTGAACTGGTTTAATTAATTAGTGAGTTTATTTAAGTTAGAGGCCCTATTTGATCAGTAGCCATATGTCTGGACTGCACAGCAGTTACAATGGTCTGGTCAAACTACATTAGAACAGAATTGTCCCCATTTTGTCTTTAATAGTTACAAACATTAGATATTTTAATGAGATATGGACCGCAAAACAAAAAATGTCCCTGGTTTTCATTTTTAAAATCAAGTCACCGAATGCAAGTAGTCGCCTTCGCTTATTTTGTTATGAGATGTGAATTACTGTTCAATTTAGTTGATGTAATAATCATTTGGTTTCTTTTACATTCAAAACAATTTACAATTTTCAAAGGTCTTATATTTTTTTCGGGGGGAGGCCCTTTTTCCAGTTTAGAGCAATAGCCCCTCCAAATGTCTGTGCACGTCCCTGCTTGGATGAAGTTATTTATGCCCTTAAACAAAAAGGTGTTTTGTTTCAAGTGTACAGCACTCATCATCACTGCATCCTGTGTGTTGGTTGGACTTCCCGGACAGAAAGGCATAATAAATGTTGTTAATTATTTATCTAAAAGCCCTCATTGGTAAACTAACGCCTCACATCACAATGAAGCTGGATTATAAAGCTGCACATATGCCTGTAGGGCGATTTATGGTTTAGTAGATTATCAGAACATAAAATAATCATTTAATATTGTGACGATTATCTTCCGTTTAACTTCAATGCACTTTCAACCGCAGCACGTGGCTCTAACATTTTATAGCCGACTATATATAACCTTTATTTCTATTCAAACCCCGGGCAAAAGCAGAAGTCCCTCCACCACTTTGAGATAGTGGACATGGTCTTCTTGGTAAATAGGGACATCAAGAGGTCTTTACATTATTCTATTAAACAGATGACTTATAACCTAACTTGGTTTGTTAAACTGGATTTTTATGTTTCCAGATTAAACCCGAGTGCTTCTATGGAAGGACAAATATCACATAAAACACAATAAAACAAAATGTGTACTCTCCACCAAAATGTACAGGGAGATAAAGAAAAAGTATTTAAGAGATTTCAGTTGATGCAGTGTGTCAGTTTTTGCGGTGCATGAGATTATGGTGGTAGATATTTGTTTTAAAGCGTGTTGAAACATTTATTTTCGGTACACCTGTAAAAGTTTCACAATACACGTTATCTCAGTATGAAACTGAGTCATCCTGTAAACCTGTTTTCTCTGTGATTAGGAAACTATTCGGCTTGAATGGCTTGCTCAAAATGTACCTATTATGCTTTTGGGGGTTTTCCCTTTCCTGTAGTGTGATATAGGTTTCTGTGCATGTTAATGGCCTGCAAGGCATGTAAATGGAAGGGAAATGCACCCCCTGCCTGAAACGCCTCCATTGGACTCTTTTGTTTACTTCTGTGACATAATGACATTGTACGGGATAGGCTAAGGGACAGGACATCTCTAAGTGGTTAACTAATCATAACAGAGCCGGCCAGCTAACCAATCAGAGCAGAAAGGGCTCTGGTTTCAGACAGAGGGTGAAAAGAGGTGCTGCAGCACAGGCAGTAAAGAAAAATAAAGACCTTTCTGAACATTAAAGCATGGAAACATGTCACAGTAGAGGAACAAAATACAAATATGAACCTGAAAATGAGCATCATAGGGCCCCTTTAAACATTCCATTCCATCATCTGGTCAGTGCTTTTGTATTCATCATTTTTATTTGGATTAATGTGTGTATGTCCATGAGCAGTGGCAATGAAATAAAGGCTCGGTATCCATACCAAAGGTTCATGCATATTTTATTCAAGAGTAAAAAAGTGGATCGTCCCATGGGGCATGCTTACAGTGTTGGTGACTGGGGAGTCAAAACAGAAAGAGCAAGAGAAGAGAGAGAAAGAGAGAAAGTAAGTAACGTGGCACAATAACTATGGCACAGGGTTCACCTCTCCCAAAGAAGCACAACAAGATCAACCAAGGAGCAACGCAACATGAAGAGCAACCAGCAGAGAGAGAGAGAGAGAGAGAGAGAGAGAGAGAGCTTAAATATTAAGAATAATGTCCATAATAAATAGAATCATAATAATCATAAATATCATCAAATAACCAAGAGGAATCATCAAGAGTCATGATCAGAGATAGAGAGTACACTTTTTTTCCTTTAAATTGTGACGGCAAACACACCGGCTCTTCGGTTCAAATGTGTCCTGCTGCTGTTTTGCTCGAAAACAGCGAAACGTTTAACCATGCATCATGCTTTGGGCTGCCTGAATGCCTGTGCCTCTGTATATAGTTGGTCATTCATCATCGCTAGTTTAATATTTGTTTATTCATATTTAATGTAAAAACAACTCCTGTACACCGACAAAGAAGATAGAGAAAACGTGGACTTGACACTTTGAATAGAAGCGTACCGTCATTCTGTACAGCGTCGAAAAAGAAAAGAAACATAGGTCGTGAAAAAATAAAAGAACGTGAAATTAATACAAAATTAACATTATGTACAAAATAAATTATTCATTACTCCTCAGTTCATTTATATTAGCCAAAAAAAAAAACTACCATAGTGAAACACAGAGCACAAATATAATCTTCACATTATTATCAAAGAACTTAACTCTGCATGCACTGATGCGTTAATAATATAAATGCTTTACAAAGACCTTTTCGGACTGCTTCTTGTAACCAGAAGAGTCTGTTTTCCTCTGTGAAATATTATTTCCTGCTCGTTAGGCCAGAGATTCCCGGCCATCAGTGCTGTTTGGTAGCAGACAGCATCCCGGGAAGAAAGGAGGATGTAGAAAGAGAATGAATAGAGAATGAATTCACATTTCAACTCCCCCAGGTCATACATAAAGCATCCTGCGTCCGCTATCTTGTGACTGTGCATCACTCACATGTGAAATAGAACCTTTTCATGTTACCTATATAAACGCAACCGGTGGGGAGAAATACTTCAAATCTGATCCCAGCCCCGTTTTCAAGCCTTTCCCGAACTGGCCTGGGACCAGAGGTTGTTTTTTTGGGGTGGGGTGGAAGGGTACGGTTTAGTGCTACAAAAGCAAACGGGAATCTCCTCCGAGAAGAAAAAAAGGACGTTCAAGGGCTCAGATTAAACTGCTACTGAGATTCTCTCCACACATCTCTCAGCACCAGAGACACACTTTTTCAAATATTACCGCACGGACATTAACATGTTTAAGCATCTGCACGCACACAGGCAGGCATTTCCACAACTTTATAAAATCAACCTATCGCAAGTTTGGTTCCACTTCCTGTTTTGGGATGCAAACAGGAAAACAGAAACATACATATCTTGTATGGCGCTTTTCCACTGCAGGGCCTCGTTCAGCTTAGTCCGACTCACTTTATGCTGCGTTTCCATTACAGTTTAGGAACTGGGGTAGTATCTATAGTAACGCAGTGTAGGCGGAGCCGTGACGTCATCTTCAATGCGAAACACAAAACCAACATCAGCCGTTAGCTCTTAGCACTCAGAGCTCACAGCTCTTCATATCTGTTCAGAAACTAGACAAAGTTAAACAAGTACAAACCACAGACTGCCTGTGTCATGGCGAATACAGTCGCTGGTTTATTTATGTCTGTGTAGGTCGTTGTTGTGAGTGTGGATGGTCGGAGCATATATAACGTTAGCTTAGCCAATCTCCATTCAGGAAACACGCATTTTAAAAGGGTTTTTCGCCTGCCGTCTGTCTGCAGACTTGTCAAAGCATGAATTCATGGTTTTTACTAACCGGTATCAGTATGTTGTTACTTCGGCATCATTTTGAAACGTGTATTACAATTAAGCCACGGTAAAATATGTTCATTTTGTTGTAGTTGCCAGCGATTCTCTCACTAGTTTAGCATACTCAGCCCGGTTGTTGGCCCGGAAAGAACCTCGATTTTGGTGAGCCAGAAAAACTGTGAAAAAGTACCCGCTAACCGGAACTACGCCTAGTGGAAACGCAACCAAAAACGAGCCGGGCACGGCACGCTTAAACCACGCTCCGCACTGCAGTGGAAATGCGCCATAAGCGCCCCATCCCTTGATTACCCTCCTCCGCGTGCAAACACTCCTGACACAACACACACACCACAGCTACGTCATGCTGACACTGTCGATCCGTCGGTGGTCACCAACGTACACGGTGCACAGCAGCTCCTCCTGTTCCGCACGGGGAGTGTTTTGTAGTTCCTTTCATTGTTGTTGTGCAGGTACATGGGAGTTGTAGTTCTTTAAATAGGGCCGATCAGTCCGGTGAAGAGACACTGCCTTTTGGTGGTAAAGTCCGGATCAACCATGCCTTTAGATACAGCTGAGGGCAACGGGAATAGGGTAGTTAATCGTGTGTGTGTGTTATCTGTCTATATGTTATACTGTGTGTGTGGTGCTTTTTTATATATGCTTATGTGCACGTATCTGTAAATTGGGTACCATATCAGAGGTGTTGTATCTGCAGGTGTGTGTCTGTGGGAGAGTGTGTCCATCACTGTATATTGCTGTTGCTGTCGGTCCCGTTGGGCTCTCCAATGTTCATGCGGCCCATCGACAGCCCCACGCTGTTGACGGCTTCGCGGCGCGGAGGCATCCTCTCGTTGATCCGATCCAGACCTTTGGCCTCCTCGAAGCTTTTGATCCGGTGCTGCGGAGAGAAGCCTCGGATGGCTGCGGAGACACAGGCACACGCCACACCACACACACACATACATTCATGCACATAGAGTTAATTTTTCAACAAGACGTTAAGTAGAATCTTGTGTATCCAAACCCCTGGGACCTTCAGGGAAATATTCAGAGCACCAAAATGAATGGAAGACTCCAAACCACAGTTTATTCATTTATGTGCAAACATTTCCATTCAGTATGGTTGAATTCACGTTCACTGGAGCACACCAGCAAGGACATTTTAATAGTTTTGATGCTGATTGTGCTCCATAAGTAAAGGGGCATGATGGGTTTGGATGAACAAGGTTCTGTCGCATATACACGCACATCTACAGAGTTCTTACACAGATTTCTACACACACCGACATGTGTTCATCTAGGGTCTGAATGCTGAGCTAGGATTAGTTTGACCTCGTGGCTCTCAGGGAAGGTGACATTCAAAGTGACTTGGCCACTGACCCTTGGATCAGTAGTCAGAACAAAACTTTGAGTTCGACAGTTTTTGGGCTGGTGCGGCTCTTAAAAATATCAAGTTTATATCGGATTGGCGAACAACAACAAAAAAATAGCCTTGGATGAAGAGATTGATACGGTTAGCTTACCAGGCCATTAGCTTAGCCCCAAGATCGGAAGCCTGGTCTATAGTCTGCCTACAAGCACTACTGAGGCACACAAATGAACACTTAGCATGAGCTTTGTTTGATCCATTTAGACACAAATACAAAGTTGTGGTTTCCCAAGTCTATTTTGGAGCTGGACCCAAAGGAGGGATTTCAAGTCTGAATATCGCAGCTCCAATACTTTAGTTCTAACTTTCTCTTTTCCGTCCTCAAATTGATAGTAGGCTAATGATAAATGACTGGAGAGCCCCTTTAAATGAGACCCACATTTAATCAAATTAAAGTAAATATAAAGCACCATAAAAGTGTTTGTCATAGATATACTGTATATATTATAAACATCATGCAATTGATTTGCTTAAACAAATTATGAGGTGTAGTTCCGGACAGCACGAAACACTTTGGTTAACAAATGCATGCAGGGTACTAACAACTCTTGTGTGCAGAGTACATTTAGTTCTAATACACTGAACACATATACCATGATCACGATCTATTCACCAAAGAACCTGGCTGACCTGTTCTGGATTCAGTCATTACAGGAGCTACGTACAAAACCTGTTATCACCTGACTTACTCAGGTCATGTGATCATTTGCCCAAGTAAGCCATTGGATATTGTCGAAGCCCAGTGAAAGAGTTTTTAACACAGGTAAAGTTTAAAGGCCTGGTTTTAAAACTGGTTTTGTAATTTTTACTTAAAATACCTCAGTATCAAAAATAAATATGTTACATTTTTACCTGTTGTTTTTTTATTTATCTCTATAGATAGTTTTGTTCAGATCTGCAATGTGTTGGAGATAGCATGGAGATGTCTTCCTTCTCTCTGTTATAATGGAACTATAAGGCACTTTGCTTGTGCAGCAACAGCAATGTCTCTTTCCATAAATCATGACTTATTCCTCTTGATAATAGAGAATTGCAGAAGCGAGTCCTAAAATCCGGAAACAACTTAGCATTTGACCACTGACATGTTTAGAATTCTGAAATAAGGTCCAAGGTTAGATAAGTCTAAAAGGTTTATGTTTTTGTTCTCCGACATAAAATAAGTCAGTAAATACCCCACTTGTGAATGCCTGAAGCTTCTATATTTCATAAAAACAGCAGATGCTAGTGACAAAAAGAGACTACTAAAAGTTGACACATCCGCCTTTAGCTTAGCAGTGATGATGCGCAGCCATGAGACTGTGATGTAGCTCGATTATAGCCTAGAGTTAACTTTTTACTTGCCGATTGAATTTACGCTTCAAAAAAGTTGCGTTATTATGTAGAGATAATCCTGCTGAACAAAACGTGTTAAATATCATAAATGTGTGTTTCTTATTTTCTGCAATACACCGAAATCCAATGGGAAAATATTGTTGCTTTTTGTCGAGGAAACCTTTGCGATGCAACATTTCGGGTCGGCCTACAAAAGTACGCCATCACCGCACCACTCTATCCCATTTCGTAGGAACTTATTTCTTTATACCAGCCAACCAATGAGCATGAGCCTTTTCTTCTATGAGTAGATGTACGCTTTATTCTGCACAGACATTCGGTGTTAGGGTGTATTTGAGTAGAAAGAAAATACTGCCTTCATAAAACTACTCGAAACAAGGTCTATCTTGATCTTATTACTGGGTCATGATTTGTGGTGAGAGACATTGCTGTTGCTGACCCAACCAACAATTCATAGAAAATGGTTTAGCTAACATGTGTTAGATTTTGCGGTGAACTATCCCTTTAACACTTTGCCTTAATTATTTTCATCATTACAGGTGACTCTTGTTCAGAGAAACAGATTGAATCCATGTTAATATTTTATAGAAATACAGAACCTTTAAAATATAAAGAAAAGACTGTAACACACTGAAGACTATAACAGATGACCTTCACACACACCCACTCTTCTTGTGTGTTAGTGTAAGAAAACGTTGGGTGTGATGTGTGTGTGTGTGTGTGTGTGTGTGTGTGTGTGTGTGTGTGTGTGTGTGTGTGTGTGTGTTGTGTGTGTGTGTGTGTGTGTGTGTGTGTGTGTGTGGTGTGTGTGTGTGTGTGTGTGTGTGTGTAGCATGAGAAGAGTATGTGGATGCTTTGTAATGTGGTGGCTTTAGCGTGCGATGTTTTAAGGCTTTGTTGTGATGTGGGTAGAAGAGTTAAGTGCATCATGGGTAAGAAAGATCTATGACCTCATGAACATGGATGGCTCGGAGCGCAGCCATGCTTCACACATGTATGCACACACAACTTACACAATTGAGTGAAATGAATGGGATTTTACCTTCAGCGTCCTTAACTGTCTCGATGGCTTCAATGGCCTCAATGGTAGCTGAAGGATGGGCGAGGAGAAGAGAAGAGAAAGAAGGATAGAGACAAGATGGCCCAGGCAAGAGAGAAGACCAAAGAAAGAAGAGAAGAAGAGAAGAAGAGGAAGAAGAAGAGAGGAGTGAAGGCTGAAACATGCTTCTTTTGCAGTTGCGTGTAAATGCAATCGTGTCACATGGCTGTGTGTGGCCTTTAAAACATCACGTAAGGTTGTCAAAAGAACACTGGCTACTTTGGTTCGTCAAACACTCAACAAGACCTGAATCAAGCAGATGATTAAAGTGTCATTAGAGTGATATATCGAAGATAGTTAAAGTATAACTTCTCCTGTTTGAGGACCATTATTTTGCCTTGCGTTCTCTTCCTCCTGACATGTTACTGTTTACCTTGCGACTAACTGCTTTGAATCGAAGGCAAATACTGCTTTGTTAAAAGCAACCTAGCAGGGAAACAGAAGGGGAGTATATTCAGAAAAAACCGATGAATATTAGATTATTAATTATTTAAATACAATTTGTAAATGGTATTACTCGCTGCTACTTCACTACTTGTGTGTGTTGATTTACTTTGATAATGCTGCCACTAATGTCTTAACTTTGGATATGTTTACATGATATGTGCTTGTGTGCAATGTTAACTATTGATTTAACTTTGCCTTGTTATCTGTTTACGGTCTCCTTGCTAATGGCCCTGCTGTTGGACAAATACAACATTTCTGCTTCTGATTCTGAGAATAAAGTAGAAATCTATCTGTATTATTTATGTACAACTGATCATCAATTGAACCTAGTTCCCTATTGATTCATGTTGGTGCAATCTGTGTTGGCATACGCATATAAGCAACTCATTTCCGGCTTGTGTGAGGCGGGGCCTGTCAGAGGGCACCTGGTGTTAGCAATAGCTGGTGTTAGCTCACACACACTTGCCTGTCTCTCATTTCTTTCTATCTTTTATTCCCACACACACACCCAGCAGGCTGTTAGCATCTTCAGCGCCGGTGAGGTGAGGTGCAGAGAGTGAGCGAGTTAGTGAGGCAGAAGGATGAGAGGAGAGCAGCAGAGAATTGTCCAGGGTAGACATTTGAACTGTTTGTGTGTGTAATTGTGTGTGTTTTCTGTTTTTTAAGCTGGATCCAGAGTTGAGTGTGTGTGTGTGTGTGTGTGTGTGTGTGTGGTGTGTGTGTGTGTGTGTGTGTGTGTGTGTGTGGTGTGTGTTAAACACTTACCGCTCTGCAGGGTTTGTTTTCCCCCAGAGAGCACGCCGCTGGGCAGCATGCCTGTAGGAGTCAGTCCCTTCAGGGTCAACACGTTCTCACTCTCCTCCCTGAGAGACGGACAGACACAGGGTGTGAGTGTGGTGCAGGTGTGTGTGTGGTGTGTGTGTGTGTGTGTGTGTGTGTGTGGTGTGTGTGTGTGTGTGTGTGTGTGTGTGTGTGTGTGTGTGTGTGGATAGAAAGAGACATTTACAGGATTACAGCATTACACACTTCCCTTCGTTGTGCACCTGCAAACACACATGCTTGTGGGTTAAACCGCTGAATATTTACAGTTACAATCTGGGGAATCTTGATTTAAAAAGTTATGGGAAGTACAGGATTTAGGTAACATTAAGCTGTCTTTGGCTCTTTTCTGCTGTAACAATGTACATTTCCCCTCTGTGGGACTAATAAAGGTATTCTGATTTAAAGGCATAGTGAACAAAACACACACACACACGCGCACACACACACACACACACACACACACACACACACACACACACACTCACTGACCCACTCACACCTGTGGGTTGCAACTGAGCACATTTACTCAAGTACTGAAACTAAATACAATTTTAAATGACATATACTTAACTTCAGTCCATTTTCTTTTCATGCCACCTTGTATTTATACTCCAATACATCTCAGGGGGAAATGTGTAATGGACTACATTGATCTGACAGAGTAACTATGGGATTTAAGTCTTTGCACACCATTTACAGTACATGCACAAAACCTTTATGACACACTACAGGAATGGGAAAACCCCAAAAAGCACAATAGGGCCCCTTTAAATTACTTTCCAAATAAAAATATTGCACAAAACATATTGACTTAAAAGAGTCCTTTAAAAAATTAAAAAATAAATAATAATAATATTAATTTAAATATGAAACTTACATTTCAACTTCTTAAATGGGAAGATTTGCTGTTTTGTTTTTTTTACCTATCTTTCTCAATATTTTCCGAACAGAACAAACCCCCCCCCCCCCCCCCCCCCCGCAACACATACAGTAAGAACAGGCAGAGCTCAACCCACCGTAGAACAGAGAACATTTTAGCCATCTTCCCGATGGCTCGGATCTTGTTTTTGATCACCTCTTTCCTGGCTGCTGCTGCACTGGCTGCAAAGAGTCAAAAACCAAACTCATTAAGATCATTTATCACAAAAGAAAAATTCCCAAAATATATTTGCAATTCGCGAAATATGTTTCAGTATGTTTGTTTTCACACTGACTGGTTTGAATCATTTTGCTTTAATGTCAGTGTTTCTTACCATCGAAGATCTCCTCTCCGTCGTTCATGAGTTCGTCGTCGGAGCAGATACTTAGGACGTTGACCAGCATTTCAGTCACTGCAGGACACACACAAAGAGAAACACACACACACACACACTTTACCACCGCATAGTTGCAAGCTGTTGGCATAGGTGTCATGAGATGCAGCATTCCCTATCTGTCTCCCTCTCCCCTCATTTCCTGTCATTTCTCTACAGTCTATAAAAACTTAAAATTCCTCAAATCTGGTTGCCCAAGACCCCCTAATCCTATAAGTAGGGGTTGTGCACCATTTTAAGCTGATATAATTGCTATTTTTAGAGAATATTATGGTGGTACTAGAACCATAGTACATAAGCATGCCATTAAAACTAAGTCTTTATAGAAATCCTTCAACTTTTTTTTTTTACTTTAACTTTGTTTGCTAATTGGTCAGAGGGAAGAAAATCACTCTTCTCTCTCTCAGTTCATTGAATACATGCAAGCTGATCCACTACAGCTGCTATTGTAGAGCACTTCATGTGAGATGATGTGCTCTCTTTGCTGAAAAAGGCATACATTAACCTGAATTAGGTTTTTATGGTTTATATTACATTTCACTTAGCCGATGCTTTAATCCAAAGGGAAATACAAAAAGTACAATTAACTATAAAGAAATGAATTAATAAGAGCAAGAAATTCATTAGTTTAAAATAAGCTAAACATTTAAATCCTACATTTTTGTGTGTTAGGTTTAACAATGCCAATGTGCAGGCAAAACACGCCTAACCTTAGTGAACGACTGGATTCTCCAAACCATAAGTAATGTTCCTTTACAGTAAATCACTGACCTTATGATCTTTTAATAATAGCGCACTGTATGTGGAAAAGTCTAAATAAGGAATATGTGCGTGCTTGTGATACCCTTCTCTCCCACGAAAGGCAGCGACCAGGTGAAGACGTCCATGAAGTTGGGCAGCCAGTAGGGGTGAGGAGAGCAGTTGAACTGACGGATGTTCATCACGTTGTTCTCATACTTCAGCACCGCCGCTAGACACACACACACACACACACACACACACCACACACACACACACACACACACACACACACACACACACACACACACACACACCACACACACACACACACACACACACACACACACACACACACACACACACACACACATGTATCATGAAATATCATGTTAGACAAACAACATTATTCAGATAAAAAAAATCATTTAAAATATTTTCCTTCAAGTTCCCAACAGACGTTTTTAATAGTGAATTGGATGCAGACTAACACTCTGTTGAGTCTAAAATAATTGTTCCGCTTCAGTTTTTTGTGTGTATTTGTGCATGTCCCGTGTCAGACCTTTGTTGTTGTAGACATCCAGGTAGTTTGGAGCAGAGAAGATTGTGATGAGAGCGGGGAAACCTGTAGTCTGACTCTTCCTGTACATACGATACCTGAGGACAGAGAGACAAACACACCGCCCACGTTATAGCTGCTGAAATAAAATAAACATGTTGTTGAGGATAACAAAACGGAGGATTCGCTTCAGAGGTCTTTAAAACCAGACAGAGACTGGTTTATGGCGAGACAGCCACGCATTTAAAACTAAATGAAGGAAAGCTGTGTGGGCAAAATGACAACGTAAAGCAGAGCTGAGGGACAGTCAGTGAAGCTTACAGCTCAAAGCAGACATTTTCAATTAGGCCCAGATATAGTGACTTAGTCATATTAAAAAAAAAGGTGTGGGTGCACATACTTTGTATGCATACAAAGAAGCTCATATTTTATTTGTACCCACAAACAAAGCACACAAGCTTCCTCCCTTGAGGACAATCTAATTACCAAATTCATCAGTAATCAAGAAAGTTGGTTATTATACACAAATACAAAGTAGCTGGAAGCAGATTTTTTATTATAGCAATTTACCTATTGCCTTTTATTATGGTGTTTCAGTGTCCTGCTTGGCCTTGATAAATATGTTAATTCTCTTTAACCGGTATTTCAACAAATGACAATAATCAATCCATGACTACCCTAAAATGCACACAATTATTACACAATTATTCAAAAAAATTGACAATATTGAGGAGTTCTCTGGACATACTCAGCACTTAAAATGAAATATGGAATGTTATGCATTATCCATCAAAACAGCTTTAAAGCAATATCATTTATTTGGAATAAGGGCTTATACTGTTATTGTTTACATGGAAACCTAATTAATGTCATAAACACATGGCTGGTTCTAATTTAGATCTTAATTCCACTTACAACATTTGTCCACAGCAGGCCACTGTACACTGTGTCTGATGAACCAATCAAATCAAGACAAAGTAATTGCTCTAAATCAACCAGTCTCCTGATTGGCTGCCTGCACAGAAGAATTGACATTTTTCTTTGGCTGTGATCCAGTATGTATATTATGTTACAGGTAAATGAATCACAGAGAGACACTAAGGTCTGCAGGAAAGTCATTGTGTCATCTCGTTGTCTGAGGCGTTTCTTTGTCCACAAGAAGCGGGGAAGTGTTATTAGTATGCATACTGTTACAAGTGTACACTTTGTTTTATCATTTTTTTCTGTGGGAACACATAATGTACTTGCTTGGATTTAGTTGTGTCTCTACACGGCTGCTCATTTCATTGTATGAAGTCGTTCAGTTGTCTAAAAGTGAAGCTTAGATCTGTGGGTCAGTGTGCTTCATTTACCCCTGTGGGGCAAACCTTACATTCTGTTTCTGTGAGCTGTTCATGTGGTGCTCTCCTTCATACATACTCTAAAAATGGTAATGACACATTTTAAGGGTGAATTTAAGTTTAAAGTGCCAAACAGTAACAGCTAGGAACATGAAATGTCAAGGTAAGCCCTTTAAATGAAGTGGTGCTCTCTTTTAAGCCAAGGAAAGGACTGACAGTCCGTCAGCTTACCCAGCATCCTGTGCTTCATGCGCTCTGATGATTGACAGCAGGTTGTTGGTCTGTAGGAACTCACACACTGCCGGGTAACTGTGGACAGAAAGAGAAAGTGAGAGCAAATAAGAGCATCTGAAGTGGAGTGAAGGTGGAAGAAGTACACAGGTCTTTAACTTAGAGTCAGGTTAGAAATACTGCAGTACAGTTAAAGTCCTATTTAAAAACCTTGTTTAGTGAAAGCATACAAGTCTTAGCCTCAACATTACTCAAAATACCAAAAGTGAAAGTACTTGTTATAATGAATAGCCCATTTCCAAACATATTATTATGATCATGATATATTGGTTATTGGCGTGACAACGCACGTGACAATGCGCCCAAAACACTTCCATTAGGAGAAAACAAGCTGCCGTTTCAAAGATATTACAAATGGAAGGGTTTTGGAACGTTGTAGCGCTTTGGCACTTGTCGGCTGCCGTAAGTAGTGGAGTAAAAAGTAAACCCTTGCCCATTGAGATCTAGTGACCTAGAAGTCAAAAGTAGCAGAGAAACAAGAAGTCACTTTTAATGGCACATTTGCTAAGGGATAGTTGGACATTGGTAATGTTCAGCCTTTGCAAAATATGTACGGAAGTAAAAATACGGAAAACAAGTTTGCAATATTTTGACAGAACGTATTTATCCATCTCAAGATATAAAAAATATACGTCTAGGGTCTCCGTATAGTTCACTTGGAACTTGCAGGCCCATTTAACCACCAGCTTGGTCCAGCCTGGGACCCTTTGCAGTGTGTATTTCTTCTGTCTCG